AACAGCTCTTTCCAATCCCTCRTGAGGGCTATGGAGGCCTTCCGTCTAGCATCCGAAATGAAGGTCAATTGGAGCAAGACCGAAGGTTGGTGGTTAACAGACGAGACCCCCCCCCAACCCGAGGGCACCGCCACACCCATGTCATGGTCCACAGGCGAACAAGCACTCAGATACCTAGGCATCATGGTCAACAAGGAGGGGCTATGGCCAGGAATGGGCCACGGCCTAATTGCCAAAGCCATAACCCGCCTGGCCCCATGCAGGAAGGCACACACATCACTAATCGGGAGGGCATTAATCATAAACACAGCCATCTTCTCCACACTATGGTACATCGCATCCATTTGGTCTCCCCCGGACACCGACTTCCAAACCATAAAGGCCAAAGCAAGATGCTATTTGTGGACAGGCGATCCCAACCGGACCACGTGCATCAACAGGGTAGCTTGGAGCCACATCATCAGGAAACYGCAGGAGGRAGGCCTAGGCCTAATTGACCCCAAGCAGGAGTCAACAGCACTACAGATGAAATGGATCATTAAGATCTTGTCCAGACAGTACCTACCGTGGACCAAGATGGCTCTAGACAGCATAAGAAACCTAGCACCGATAAGCTCCCCACCGAACATGAGCGGCTACTTCTGGATTACGGCAAAAGAGTGGACGATAAGATCARGCAGATCCCGYAGAAGCACCACAYGAAACTCARACAACCAGACAGCCCYAACACCCAACCCATACTGGACTCCGACTCTGAAGGCCTGGAGACGTTTGATGCCAAGCAAACATGGCACAGTGGAATCAAAAGAGGAGGCTCTGAGACAACCGCTGTTCTGTAATGAGTGGATSAAGGACCCCGAGGGCAACCCATGGCCACTAAGAAATAGGGACCGGAKRTGGCTATCGTGGGTTGAAAAAGSGGTATGGCAGGTGAAGCACCTGTGGGCWGAAGAACGRRGAGAATGGCGAAAGGAACATGAACTTCGAAATACGCTAAGAGGCTKCCACGCCCTCGCAGAAAACCTACGCACAATCCAGAAGAGCATTCCACCCCATTGGACCCGTCTCTTGAAAGAAGACTTCTCTTGGAAACCAGGGGACTGGGGTATACTTGTATCCCAAACCCCACCGATCAGAGCATACCGGTTCGTGTCCCGCATACCAACCACCGGCTACCGTTCCAAGTTCTACTCCTATCCCATCGCCAACCACAACCTCCAGGAATTAACCATAATGAACAAAGAACCGCAGCTAGAGACGATAGAGGCCTTTCTGCTGAGAAAAGTGAGAGTGTCGAAGACCAAACCATGGATAATCTTCCAGCCCGACCTCAGCATCGCGGAACTCGAATTCGACCCTAAGGAATGGGCATGGAAACAAGGCGAACCCGGAAGAACCAGAACGTTACTGGAATATGATGTGAAATTCGGATACAAGCTAGGCCTACGAACCACGGACCCCAACCCCAAACTCGAAGACAGATGGAGAGGGACACTGAACTTAGAGCCAACAGCGTCAATGACCATCCCTTGGACAAAATACCTCCCCATAAAACCAGTTAGAATACGAAGCCTACAATGGCTCCTAGCCCACGCAGCACTCCCTGTCAACCACTGGCTCCACAAAAGAAGAAAACACTCAGACCCCAACAGCTCGGAACTATGCATAATGTGCGATGACAGCGTCCCTGAAGACATCCCCCACTGCCTCCTATACTGCAACCAAGCAGCCTGGATATGGAACAAAGTCCAAAATCTGTGGCACCGTCTCTTCTCAGCCCCACCCCCCAACCTCACCCCCCAGAACATCCTACTTCTATCTAACATCAGCGACAGTCTAAGAGGCGGAAAAGCAGTCCGGTTCCACATGCTCAGGAAGCTAGCTCTGTGGGTAATCTGGAAAAGGAGATGCACCAAGACGATCGGAGGTACCGAGGTGGCAAGAGAAGAAATGTGGGCTCTGCTGCTAGGAATGGTGGAAACCGAGATTCGATCCAGATGGAGGGAGGTGACATCAACAACGAAAGGCAGACCAGAGAGTACAGCCATCAAGAGACRGGTCTTCACGAGAGACTGGCTTTTACAGGGAAAGATTGCAACTGTTTCAGATAACAGATTGATATGGAAGAAATGGCACAGCACAACTACAACAAGGACGGGGCCCCAGGGAGGTTTAAACTGAGATTCTAATCTCAACAGTATAGACAACTCTCCTCTTTTCTTGCTGTATACGAATCATCTGACAGAGTCCTAAWGATTCTGAGAGGAAAAGTGGTAGGGCAAGCTGACAGTCAATCCTCCGGATACGGAGTAATCAATGCTGGTCAGGGTTCCTTCGGCCTGACGGAAGGAAGCGTGAGAGTGTTCACCATGTATTCCAACTTTTGACTTGCCTGTGGAAAGGAACCGGACTGACGCTCCCCAGAATGGATAAGGAGCCAGGACCATAAGGACCTGTTTTCAANCAACAAAAAAAAAAAAAAAAAAAGAAAAAAAAAAAGAAGAAGAAGATTCTAGTCCCTATGTAACTGGGTGCAGTTGAGCAAATCACAAACAGAAAGGAAAGCGTCAAACTAGAGGAAGGAGGTTGAGAAATTTGCATTGACAATTGCAAATTGGGGGTCTGGCCAATCTCAGCTGATATCTTGACCAGGCACCGGAAAGCGGCCCCAGTGACTGTGGAATCTTTTTTGAGCTCTGGCAGAGAAACCTTTATTGCCCGCTTGTTTTTGAGCAACCACTCAGTGGATAGCATCTGTTTGATGGGATACTTTGGTCTCTGGTCAGACAATTCAATTGGGCGGTGCAAACTTTTCACCTCTTCGCACCGGCGCATTTCGGAGGGGCCACATTGTCCACAGGACTGCACCATGCAAGCATTCCTCCTGGTATATGATTGAGGTAGCACGGCGCAGCCTGCCTGACGTGGCTCCCAGCAGTATGAAGTCGTTGTTAACATAGGCCCTTGGCGGTAGCAACGGAACAGCTCCGGAGCGCCACCAATCCCGGAATGGCCTCGCCAGCTCACAGTGAAGGTAAAAATGCTGCAAGTCCGCAATGCGGATCCCGAGGCAGAGGACGCAAAGGGGAGAAGCCTTTGTTGCCTTGTACTACACCACAGCGCAGTCCGGTGTACCAAAAGTGCCTTTTCAACTTCCAGGAGAGGCACCCTTCTTCCGCGCACCCTTCTCTCAGGTACCCTTCTTTCTAGTACTACCCGTCTTTACAGTACCCTCCTTTCCGGTACTCTTCTTTCCCGTAACCTTTTGCCCTGCAAGTATTAGGATACCTCTGCACAGGTAGTCTTCTTTCCCTCAACAAACTCCCAGGATGCCCCTCCACAGAGGACCCTACCATTTTGCCCTTGCCCCGGCTCCTTAAGCAGGACGGTCACCCATCTTCCCCTTCACTTTCCGGCTTTTCTCTCCTCTCCGTATCTGAACTAGCCAGTTCCTTGTTCCCGACAAGTTGTCTCCCACCTGCTACCCAATTCCTATGCTGGTGTCAGCCCACCCCTTCCTCTCTCTCTCTCTCTCTCTCTCTCTCTCTCTCTCTCTCTCTCTCTCTCTCTATCTATCTATCTCTATCTATCTATCTATCTATCTATGATCTCTCTCTCTCTCTCTCTCTCTTTTGGGATTTTCATCAATGGTACGACTTCATCCTTCCAAGTTGTCATTCTCATCAAGTTGCATGGTTTTCAATTGTCCTCCTAACTTCGCCGGCCTCTCCATTTTGCCCTTGCCTAAGATGTTCGTAGCAGCCCAATGAGCCTCTTTTTTGGAGATAGCGAGCACGATTGGAAAGCGTCGAAATGATAGGTGCAGCCGGTACACTAAAAGAGGCAACAAATTGGGCTAAATCATCGTCTTTTTTTTTCCCTCAAGGGGTTAGGCTAGCCCTGAAGGGCGTAACCTCGAAACACCAGTACGAGCCCCCTCCGACTGGGACATAGCCCTTGTACATGAGGGCTGCTGCACTTCCAATGCACGGCCCTTCTGTAGACCCCTTGAATTTGTTCTGCCACAAACTTTAGATTCGGTCATTTGGTGTCCAGCGAACTGGCCCCGCTCATTGTACCGGGATTCAAACTCATCATTCACCTGTTATTTACAGTTACATGTCTGCGTAGCCTTCGTTCAGCCACATAGGCCAACACATGTTTTATTCCGTCCCCAAAGTGCGCAAAGCCTCATGATCCAAACGAGTCATCCATGTTGTCCTCAGTTATGAAATTGCCCCCCTCCATTTTCTTGAACCATGTGGCTCCTGCCGTCTGCACCACCAAATAGAAGGCC